AAGGACCAGGTTTGCTGGTCTGATAGAGCCTGGTGAAACTCCTGAGACTATGGCCCCTAGCTGCCTTTCAGGTCTGGAATTGAACCCACTCGTGTGGCTTCCAGCCATACAAAAGATAGGCATATGAGCTGAACATTCACATTAGGTAGATACGGTAGATACCCTCCTTGGAGAGGTCAATCATGGAAGAAAAGAAGGGCAGTGTATGAACAGGGAGACAGCTGGGGGTGGGCAAGAGCGCATGGGAGGGAAAGACACAGAGAAGAGGTAATTATGGGGAGGAAGTGGGAGGAGAGCTGTTACATTGTGGGAAATTGTAATCAATTTCATGAGACAAAATGTATATGTATATGACTGCTGTATGGAAAATGAATTTGCTCTGTAAGCTTTCACCCAAATCACAATAAAAATAAAAATATATTGGTCTTTTGGAAAATACTGCTTCAATGAGCTATACAGATTTTCTAGATGTTGGCACATTTCATTATATAATATAAAATATTCACATTTGTTATTATCATACCAATCCTATCAAAAATCTTTAATTGCTTGGGAAGTTATTGAGCTCATGACAGCAACTACAAGTTTTCCAAAATTCTGATTTTCTTTTCTTAGAAACTCAAATTTTATCATTGGCAAAAATACTGCTAGTTGTTTTTCCTTGAAATAATAGACTCATTTTGTTCATTTTTGAGGAAATATCTGCCAAGAGTCTGAATAACAACAGTTTCTCTCAGTCATTCTTTCAAATAAGAATGGTATTCCATAGAAAAAGGTAGCTAGCTTGGCATGCAATTCAAAGAATCACACAAGTACATTTCCTCAAAACAGCAGTCATACTTGAGGCTATAAGTGAATTGCTTTTTTGGTTACCTGAAATATCAAAGACCCATAGAGATGTAATAAAATTATAATTTGACTGCCTTGTCAAGGCATTCTTAAGTAAAACTAGCATTTTTCTCTTTTACTGGGAGTGGGTGACACTGAAGAATACAAAAACTACTTGCACGGTTTGGTGCCACTGCCTTGATTTTACTACCTATCGTTGTTTTCTCATTGTCAGTACAAAACCAACACAGTGAAATAAGTTAACAACATTTTATTTCTATTAGGAAAATAGTTTTGACTTTGTGGACCCCCCTGAAAGGGCCTCAGGGATGTGTAGGAGTCCACATTCCACACTTTGGAATCTGCTGATCTAAGGGGTTAGGGGGCAAACCCAAACCAAACACAGTGCCGTCAAGTTGATTCTGCCTCATGTTGTTGTTGTTGTTAAGTGCCATCGAGATGGCCCTGACTCATAGCGACCCTTCCTTGGGTTACCAAGGCAGTATCACTACGGAAGTAGATTGCCCAACCTTCCTTCTGCCTCATAGCAACCCCCACTGGGTTTCCAAGGCTATGAATTTCTATGGGAGCAGACTGCCCCCATCTTTGTTCCATAGAGTGGCTGATGGTTTTAAACCAGAGACATTTTGGTTAGTAGCCAAATGCTTTAACCACTACTCCACCAGAGCTCCTTGAGGTGATAGGGGTAGTGGTAATTAATTAAAGGAAGACTCCCAAAGAGAAGGTGATTCTTATAAGGAGTATGCACTTCTAGAAGGTGTACTATATACCGTAACCATGTCCACTCTGTCTAGTCCATCCCATTTACCAAGAAGATAGTAACATAAGAAAAGCAGAATGCTAAGATAGAATTTTGTGACAATGTATATTAAAATAGAAGAAAAATGAAAATATGAACCAAAGAGTTCTCCTTCCACAACCAACACTAAAGAGTGCAAATTCTTTTTTTATTTTTTTCAAGAGAGCAATCCCATATACCCACCTCTCTGTTTTTCCTAACACAACCTGCTATCCTCTTTGTCTGATCTTAATTTTTCCCTTTGGCTCACATTTTCATTACAGAGAAAAAAGAAAAAGATCAAAATCCCTATCAGATAACCAGAAAAAACCCAAACTCACTGCCATGGAGTCAGATCTGAGTCATAGCAACCCCTCCTTGGGTTTCCGAGGCAGTGTCACTATGAAGTAGATTGCCCAACCTTCTTTCTGAGGAGTGGCTGGTGGGTTTGAACCACCAGACTTCTGGTTAACAGTCAAATGCCTTAAGTGGGCAGTGGGTTTGAACCTCCAGCCTTCTGTTTAGCAGTCAAATGCCTTAGACACTACACCACCAGTGACAATTAATTGCTCCTGGTGGCGGAGTTCCTAAGGCATTGAATGCTAACCAGAAGGTTGGTGGTTCAAACCCACCAGCCAGCCACTCCACAGAAGGAAGACTGGGCAATCTAATTCCATAATGATTTACCACCTTAGAAACCCAAAGGAGGTTGCTATGAGTCGGAATCAACTCCATGGCAGTGAGTTTGGTTTGTTATTTTCTGTTCACCTTGAGCCCAGACAACTTGGTTTGTTCTTCTGTTATGGAACTTTCTTTATTCTTTCTTGTCATCTTTAGAGCAGAAGACTTGCCCATTTGTCTCTATCTTCCATTCATTTACATAGTACCTTAAACAGTGTAAATGCTCAATAAATGTTAGTTAAATTAGGTTTATACTTGGACAGTTTTTTTCCCACATCTCCATCAATATAAAGAGTAAATGGGGGTAGATGAGGGCTAAGGGGATGGGGAAAGGGAATGCCCTTATGAGACTGGGGCTGGGAAAAGTAGTTACCCCAGGAAAGAAAGAGGCACCACAAAGCTGCCTTTTTGGCTGCAAAAGAAGGGAAGGCTGTTTACATCTAATAGTGGCAATCCTTTTCATGAGATCTAATTAATTTTATTCCTTTTAATAGCCCTCCTCATTAGTAAGCCCTCAAAAAAATAAAAAAAAATTCATGAATAAATTACAGAGATGAAACCATGTTCATATGAGAAAATTCCAAAATTTCTACCTATTGTTAGACCTGAAAGGATTCCTACTCCAAAATATAAAACTTACACTTTCTGAATCTGTTAGAAGGCTATCATTCTTAATGTAGAGCAAATGGAGGGAGGTGAGGTCTATTGATCAAGACAAGTGAAATTTCAGCTTCTCTGAATGAGTATGTACACACTTTATTTATCCTATATAGAGGAACACCAAGTAAACAACTTAATTAATACTCCAGGATTCCCTGGGTGGTGCAAAGAGTTAACCATGCTTGGCTGTTATATCTGTAAGATGGTAGGTTCGAGTCCATTCAGTGGCACCTGGAGATCTAGTTCTGAAAAATCACTGAAAACACTACGGAGAAGCTCTACTCTCTGACGCACATGGGGTTGCCATGAGTCAGCGAAGATTCTATGGCAGTGGGTTTAATGAATAGCGCACAATTGAGGACTTGAGTTTCTGTGTACAGTGATTCTATCGCCATTTTCACCTTTTCTGGGGAGAAGGACCGCAAGCCTCCTAGAGGAGACAAGCCTCAAGAGGCCAGAGCCTCAAGCACCCACTCCTTTCCAATTCCTCATCAACCCAAAACTGTGGGTTAGCAGGAGCGCAGGCAGTCCTTTCCCCAAAAGAGCGAACAGTCTTATTCTAATGGGAAACGGATCTCAAAGAAGGAACTTGCGGGTCTGTATGGACTCGTAGCTCGCTCTATTTTGTCATCTGCACTCTGCTCATTATATAAAGGTCTTTGATTTTAAACACTAGGCCTAGTGATGTGGCGCACCGCACCATCCCAGCTTTAGAACAGCTCAGGAACTTGTTTTGACCCCTGCAACCTATTTAGAGATTTAGAGATGGCCCGTCACTTCCTCAGCTTCCTTCACACTCCAAAGCATCAGATGATGTTGTTGTTGTTGTTGTGTGCCGTCGAGTAGGCCCCGACTCATAGCGACCCCTCCTTGGGTTTCCGAGGCAGTATTACTACGGAAGTAGGATTGCCCAACCTTCCTTCCGAGGAGTGGCTGGTGGCATCAGATATGGGATCCTTAAAAGTCTAAAGGTCTAAAGCCCCTCCCGCCCATGAGTCAGAATCAACTCCACAGCAACCACCAACCACCACTGGCTTTAAAATTTAAATTTTAAAAATTCCCCAAAACTTCTTTTCGCGATGGCTCGCTCCCTCGCTCAGGCTCGCTCCCTCGCTCAGGCTCGCTCCCTCGCTCAGGCTCGCTCCCTCGCTCAGGCTCGCTCCCTCGCTCAGGCTC